AACAAAATGAGCCTTTCTCCACCTAAAAAATACTGATTCTCAGGAGTTATTCCTTTCAAAACCAAATTCAATTTGGACAGGGAAACAGTGTGCTAGATGCTCCTGCTTCAAACAGGGATTGTTTTTCTTTCGAGAAATACCTGTGTTTCTTCACTGTAGCCCAGTAGGGCTATTTGGAATAAAGTGAGCCTTTTCGACCTTGAAAACTGTGATTTGCAGGGATTACTCATTTCGAAAACTAATTCAACTCTCAAAGTGAAACAATGTGCTCTGCTACAGCTTCTAGCATACATGCTTTTCTTTGAAGAGGTACATGAATTTCTTCAACTCAGCTGGAGAGCCCTAATAGACCAAACGCAGTCTATATTAACCCTTCAACACCTAAGATTCAGGAAGTTTTCTTTACAAACTAATGCAGTTCTCACAGGAAAACAGTGTGCTTCTAACATGGATGGTTTTCCTGTGAGAGATACATGTGTTTCTTCAACTCAGCGGAAAAGGCATATTTGGAGCAAAGAGAGACAATCTATCTTGAAATACCTTAGTTGCAGGAAGCATTGCATTGAAAACCTAACTCAATACTCACAAGGAATCAATGTTCTACATGCTCCTGCATCTAATAGCGATGGTTTTCTTTGAGAGATACCTGTGTTTCTTCCACTTGGCTGAATAGGCCTTTTTGGAACAAAATGAGCTTTTCTGCACTTTGAAAACTATGAACTACAGGAAGTGTTTCTTTAAAAACCTAACACAATTCTCATAAGGACGGAAATGCTGAATGCTGCAGCTTCTATCGTAGATGGTTTTCTTATGAGAGATACAAGGGTTTCTTCACCTCAGCTGAATATACGTTAAGTTAACAAACAGAGTCTATCCCCACCTTGAACCACCTAAGTTCCAGGAAGTATTCTTTAAAAAACTAGCCGAATTCTACAGGGAAACAATGTGGTAGAAGCTCCTGGTCATAAGACAGATAGATTTCTTTCCAGAGATACATGTGGTTCTTCAAGTTAGCTGAATAGGCCTATTTAGAACAACATGAGCCTTTCTCCACCTAGAAAATTCTGATATGCAACAGATATTCCTTTCAAAATCAAACTCAATTCTCACGGGAAACAATGTGTTGATGCTACATCTTTTAAAACAGGTGGTTTTCTTGAAGGAGACAGATGGTTCCTTCAACAATGGAAAAATGCCGAGTTGGAGCCAATGGAATCTATCTCCACCTTGAAACACCTAAGATGCAGGATGTGTTTTTTCAGAACAAACTGAATTCTCACAGGAAAAGCATGTGCTACATCCTCCTGCATCGACACAATGAAGGATTTCCTTGACAGACACATGTGTTTCATCACCTCACCTGAATAGGTGTATTTGAAGCACAAGGAGCCTTTCTCCCTTTGAACATTTTGGTTTGCAGGAATTATTCCTTTCAAAACATAACACAATCTCACTGGAAAAAAGGTGCTACATGCTCCTGCTTCTAACACAGGTGGTTTTCTTTTGAGGGATACAAGGATTCCTTCAATTTAGCTGAATAGGTCTATTTGCAACAAAATGAGCCCTTCTCCACCTTGAAAACTATCGTTCACAGGAATTATTCCTTTCAAAACTAACTCAATTCTCTGAGGGAGACAATGCAGAAGATGCTGCAGCTTCTCTCATAGATGGTTGTCTTTGGAGAGATAAACGTGTTTCCTCCCTCAGTTGAATAGGCCTATTTGGAGCAACAAGGCCTATCTCCACCTTGAAGCCTAATTTCCAGGAAGTCTTTCTTTCAAAAGTTAACTCAGTATCACAGAGAACAATGTGCTGCTAGCTTCGGTTTCTACACAGATGGATTTCCTTCGAGAGATACTGAGTTTCTTCAAGTAAGATGAATTGGTGGATCTGCAGCAAAATGAGCCTTTTCCATCTTGAAAACTTTGGTTTGCAGGAAGTACTCCTTTCAGAACTACTGAGTTCTCATGGCATAAAAATGGGCTCTGTGCGGCAGCCGCTTTCGTAGCTGAGTTTCTGTGAGAGACATATGTTCTTCAACTAGGTGACTAGGCCTATTTGGAGCAAACTGAGGCTATTTCCACCTTGATAGACGTGGTTGCAGGAAGTATTCTTTTCCAAAACTTACGCAATTCTCACAGGAAAACAATGTGCTAGGTGCTCCTGCTTCAAACAGGTGGTTTTCTTTCGAGAAATACCTGTGTTTCTTCAACTTAGCCAAGTAGGGCTATTTGGAATAAAATGAGCCTTTTCGACTTGAAAACTGTGAATTGCAGGAATTACTCTTCTCCAAATCCAATTCAACTCTCAAAGGGATACATTGTGCTAGATGCTAGAGCTTCTACCATGCATACTTTTCTTTTAGAGGTACATGTACTTCCTCTACTCAGCTGAATAGCCCTCATGGACCAAACGCAGCCTATCTCCCCCTGCAAACACCTAAGATTCATGAAGAATTCCTTTCAAAAACTAACACAGTTCTCACAGGAAACATGTGCTTCTAACATGGATGGTTTTCCTTTGAGAGATACATGTGTTTCTTCAACTTAGCTGAATAGGCCTATTTGAAATGAGGGGAGCCTACTTTGAATATTGATATTTGCAGGGTGCATTGCTTTAAAAAACTAAATGAATTCTCATAGTGAAACACTGTGCTAGATGTGGCAGTTTCTACCATTGATGGATTTCTTTGCATACATGCATGTGTATCTTCAATTCACCCAAATAGGCCTACTTAGAGTAAGCACATGCTCTCCCATCTTGAAACACCTAAGTGGCAGTAAGTATTCCTTTCAAAAATAACTCAAGTCTCAGAGGGAAACAACGTGCTCAATGCAAATGCTTCCATCACAGACGGTTTCCTTTGAGAGGTACATGTGTTACATCCTTAGGGAATAGGCCTATTTGGACAAAATGATCCTTTCTCCACTGTGAAACTATGACTTGCAGGATGTATTCCTCAAAAAGTAACTCAAGTCTCACAAGGAAACAAAGTGGTAGGTTCTTTGCATGTAACATAGATTATTTTCTTTTGAGATACACACATGTTTCATCAACTTACTTGAACTGGATATTTGCAAGAAAATGAGACTTTCTCCACCTTGGAAAAGTATGATTTGCAGGAGTTATTTTCCAAAACCTATCTGAAGTCTCACAGGGAAACAATGGTTGAAACTCCTGCTTCTAACTCGATGGTTTTCTTTCTAGAATGCATGTGTTCATCAACTTAGTTGACTATCCTATTTGGAACACAATGAGCCTATCTCCAACCTGAAAAACTGTGTAGCAGGATGTATTCCTTTCCAAAACTTGCTTAATTCTCAAAGGGAAACAGTGTGCTAGAAGCTGCGGCTTCCACATAGGTGATTGTCTTTGCAGGGCTACATGTGTTTTCTTCAACTCACCGAATAGGCCTACTTAGTGCAAGAGAGACCTTCTGCACCTTGAAACAACTACGTTGCAAGAATAGTCCTTTCAAAACTAATTTAATTGTCCAAGAACAAGGGTAATGCTGCAGTTTCTAGCATACATGGTTTTCTTTGGGAGGAAATGTGTTACTTCACTCAGCTGAATAGGCCTATTTGGAGCAAACACAGCCTAGCTCCACTTTGAAACACCAAAGTTGCTGGAAGCATTCCTTTCCAGAACGGACACAATTCTCACTGGAATACAATGTGTCAGAATGCTCCGGCTTCTAACATAGACGGTTTTCTTTGGAGAGATACTTGGGTTTCTTAAACTCAGCTGAATATACTTTAAGGGATCAGACAGAGTCTATCTCCACCTTCAACCACCTAAGTTCCAGGAAGTATTCCTTTAAAAAACTCACCGAATACTGCAGGCAAACAATGTGGTAGAAGCTGCTGGTTCTAAGACAGATTGATTTTCTTTCAAGGAGAATCAACTTTCTACTGCCCGGGCAGTGCTTTGGGCAGGAATGAGGGCAACATCTTCCCTAATCCTGAAGCCACTTTTGTCAAGGAAATGTGAGTCCCCAGAAAACAACCAGCACCACATCCCTAGTGTCTGAAGTGGTAATCCCTGGAAGTTTTCTCATGAGAATATTTTATATTTACCATACATATTTCGTAATAAAATCCTAAAGTAAGAAAATGTGTACCACATTAGAGCGGAATTGAATAATTTTGAGATGTTTCTGCCAAATTTGAAAAATATTGTAATTTCCCCTAGCCAGTGTATTAGCTATTTGTAATCTTGATTTGAGAGAAGAAAGGTAGATTTTTTTGTTCCATTTTCTAAGCCTTCTCACATTTACTGGTATGTTTTTCTTAAAGATACCCAGTCAGTTGTAAACTGGAGTAGAGGGACATGTTACCATGTCTGATAAAGTTCTATAAATGCTTCCCCTTTCTACAGTACATATCGTGCTTCAAATATGAAGGCTCCTGAGAGAACAGACGGTACCAGCCTTGAATCTTCAGAATGCTTTCCGAATTATAAAAGAAGTACAGAAACGTATAAGACTCGAGAAGCAGAAGAGAAAGAAAAGGAGGTGAGCCTGAACATAGACAAAGCACCTTTGTGCAAAAGGACACATATTTTGGGAGCACTTTCATTTTCTAACCTAGCATATAGCTGGACAGTACTTCTAGCCTTCTGGATTTTAAAATCTTTGACATTGAATATAGTTTTTATTCTCTGATCTCATTAGGAACTATAGGAAAGGCACAATACCACCAAGGCCTCTTCTTATAGGAACTATAATTTGGGAAGTAACATTTGGGTGATGGTTAAGAATACAGGTTGATTTGACAGAGTAAAATTAACTAGAGGTGTGGCTCAAGCAGTAGAGTACCCGCTTTGCAAGTGCAAAGCCCTGAATTCAATCCCAGTCCCACAAAAAATAAACCTGGTTCAGTACTTTGTAGCTCACTGGCATTCACATTACTTTTCTTACCGTTTTAGGGTATTGTGAAACAAGACTCACTGGTGATCAATCTAAACCGGAGTAATCCCAAACTCAAGATCTGTACATTCGCCCAAACATTGCCCAGAAGAGGATGCAAGGCTCACTAGAGGCTCATGTCAATGGTATGTGCAGGAGATCTCTCGTGTGCCTGGACTTTTGTCTTCAGGGGCACATTTGTAAATAACAGATCAGATCCTACACTGTGACAAAGAAATGCTACATCAGAAGAAAGGGGAAGCTATATATAATGTTAGAGTTTCCTCTCACCTGTTCAAGTCAGAGGAGATGCAGTGCCTTTTAGCCTAACCTAATGATACTGCTTGACATTTAGCTGCTGCTTCTTTTCTCCCAGGTTTCCGCTTCACATCTGTTAGAGGAGATAAAGTGGATATTCTGTACAATAATATTAAACATGCTTTGTTCCAGCCCTGTGATGGAGAAATGATTATTGTCTTGCACTTTCACCTCAAGGTACACCTTTCTACCTAACTAGCTATAATTTTGAGCTTTGAGGCAAAAAACTTAATTTTTCTCAGCTTGTTTCATGTGAAATACTGATGGAAAACATCACCGGTTACATAAGATCACTAAGAGGCTTGAGTATGTGTTCACAGTCCTAGTGTTTCAGAAGCACTGAGCATGTGTGCCTCTTTCATATTATGACCCCAAACATGTAAGGTTTTCTCTGAACTTATTTTCCATTACCAACATAGTCTACAAAATCTTTTCAAATAAAATGCGAGTACTTTTAAAAATATACTCTCTCACATCCCAAGTATCATTTTGATGACACCAGGGATGGTTTATTTTTAAATGATGTGGTATGGAGGCATAAATTTTGATCACTGCCATTTCCAATACAGATTTTTTTTTATGTTTTTCTATTCTGTTTCTCATATCTTTCCTCTTTGTGATTAGATGGCCTGAGTGTTCTGATTTCTTTCTGTTTTTATGGCCTCAGAATGCCATCATGTTTGGGAAGAAGCGGCATACAGATGTGCAGTTCTACACAGAAGTGGGAGAGATCACCACTGACTTGGGGAAACATCAGCACATGCATGACCGAGATGACCTCTATGCTGAGCAGGTGTGAGGAATTTGGTATTGTATTTGCAGGGTAACGAGGGAGGATGAGATCAAAATCTGAGCTAAGAAATTGTATTTTTATTTACTTTTGCAATACTGGGGATTGAACGAAGAGCCTGGCACCACTTGAGCCACTTGTTTTGAGGTAGCATGTCACTAATTTGCCCAGACTAGCCTGAAACTCAAGACCTCCACCTCCTCAATAGCTAGGAGTACAGGCATAGGCCTGTGTGGCTAGACAGGAATTATTTATACTCCTGAATCTGTTTGTGAGAAGAACTCAAATATCTGAGGTTATATATGAATTGTGGCATAGCTTATGAGTTAGATGTAAGTTGTAGATTCACCTCGATGGTTTTTTAATGCTATGGTTGCCTTAAGTAAGGTGTACATATTAATATTGTAGTTATGAGAATTAAAGACTATAAAGATACTTAAGACTTTTTGAGGGGAAGTACTGTTAAGTAACTTGATAAACATAGTATATATTTTCTTCTACAGATGGAAAGAGAAATGAGGCATAAACTGAAAACAGCTTTTAAAAATTTCATAGAAAAAGTAGAGGCTCTGACAAAGGAGGAACTGGAATTTGAAGTGCCTTTCAGGGACTTGGGGTAACATACTTCATCTTCTTTTTGGCCTAAAGTTTCACTGCTCTCCCTCTTAGGAAAACGTATGATTCTTTTTTTTGATAGTAATTTAGCATAGCATCACATCCTTTGTGAAATCCCTCTTAAAAAAGTTAGCGGTTTGTATGAGTATCTAAGGCTAAGGGGCTTCCTCTGGAGGTAAGTCTCCAGTGAGCCTGCGGGAGCTGTGTTTGGCAGGGGCAGAGGAAGGTTTGTCATTGTGGCAACAGAGGTTTCACTTGTGATGAGCCCATCCTTGTGAGTTTCATACTGTCTTTCAGATTTAATGGGGCTCCCTATAGGAGTACTTGCCTCCTCCAGCCCACTAGCAGTGCGCTGGTAAATGCTACAGAATGGGTGAGTATCTCTTACCTCCTTTTATTTATTTTATGTATTTGGTGTGATGGTGGAGATTGAATCCAGGGCATGGTGTATACTAAGTATATGCTATACCACTGAGCTACACCCCCAACCCTCTTGCTTTCATTTAGTAAGAAAACTTAGAGAAAAGAAAGCAGGAGGGGTAGATGTTTTGATCCTGATTATTCTGATTTTTATTTTCAGTACTTACTTACACTAAAAATTCATTGAACAAAAATCACTTTCAGAATTTTTTTTTAAATCAGTATCTTCACAGTTTTCCTTAAACTTATTCTCCTTGAAAAATTTTAATCTTGTGGGTGCTTTTATGAGGGGTTTTTCTTGTGTTGTATTGCTTTTATTCTTTCAAAAACACCAAAGAACAACTGAGTTTTCCTTTGGATAGTGATTTAAATCCTGAAAGCATTTGAAAATACTAGTGTTTAGGGGCAAGTATTTATGTGGTAATAACTCCAGTTCCTATCTGACAGCCACCTTTTGTGGTGACACTGGATGAAGTGGAGCTTATCCATTTTGAGAGGGTCCAGTTTCACCTAAAGAACTTTGATATGGTAATTGTCTACAAGGACTACAGCAAGAAGGTGACAATGATCAATGCCATTCCTGTAGCCTCTCTTGACCCATCAAGGAATGGTTGAAGTAAGTAAATCTGTCCGCAATCTCCTATTCTCCCTTTGTGTACCTTATATTACAAAATTGTATGGTATGTTATACATAAAAACTACAGGTGGCTAGGTACAGTAGTGTATGTAGCCCCCGCTACTCAGGAGGCTGAGGCAGGAGGTTGCTTAGCCGAGAGTATGGGGCCAGTCCAGGGCTCATATCAAGATGCTATCTCTTCTTAAAAAATAAAAAAGCTGATGTACTTTAGGTAGGCAGCCTTCCGGTTAAGTTAAAGATTGTGACTTGAAAATTTGAGGCCAATAGCTAATACTAATAGCCAATAGTAGTTTATGGATACTTAGTACATGAAGAAAATAAAAATCTTAAGAAGTTTTATATGTGTAATTGATACGTGTACAAAGATAGGTATGCACATGTAACAGTTCATTAGTTAAAAGTGGGTGACATTCTTCTTACTAGCTAGTTTGTTTTTTGATGGTACTGGGGATTAAATTCAGGGTCTCAAGCTGCCCTACCACTTGTGCCATGCCCTCAGTCTACTAGGTCTGATTTACTGAAAGATGAGATAGGTTTTAATTATTCAAGAATGGTTAGATAGATAGATGATAGATGGACAGACAGATTGATTGATTGATTGATTGATTGATTGATTGATAGGTGTATATTCCAGACATAGTGATGTACTTCTGTAATCCCAGCACTCAGGAGGCTGAGGCAAGAGGACCATGAGTTTGAGGCTAGCCTGGATTACATAATGAGACCCTATTTCAACCCCACTCCCATCTACCCCCACCCCCAAAAAAGAGAGACTGTTTTTTTGATGATCATATATTCAAACCAAAAACTGTGTCATGGAAGTAAGAGGATCCTAATAAACAGCATCACTATCTAAGTTATACTTTGGTAGCCATGAGTACAGTTTTCTCAGCCTTTCCCTGCACTCCATGCGTCCGTTTTGGTTTGGTTTGGTTTGGTTTTTGAGACAGAATCTCACTATGTAGCCCAGGCTGGCCTCCTGCTTTCTCTGCCTCCCAAGTGCTGGGATTACACGTGTGTATCACTACACACTGCTCTCATGTGCCATTCTATACCTTTATTGATGAAATAATTGCTCATATTCTTGCCTGTTTTTAAAATAATATTTCTTGTCTTATTACTGAGTTCTGAGAATTCTTTAAGCTGGATGTAAGTCCCTAATTAAGTAGAGTTTGCATTTCTTTTCTTCCAGTGGGCTCTTTGCCTCTTCATTTTTTAATTGTCCTTTAAAGACATGAAAAACAAATTTTTGATGACATCTGTTTGATCAGCTCTTTCTTTTGTACTTTGTGCTTTTCATTTCCTATCAGGTTTTGTCTAGTCCAGGGTCATAAAAATTTTCTAGTTTTACATGATTGGGGAAGTTAAATTATTACTGTAGTGTATGATTGAAGGTTCATACTTTACATATAGATAGCCAATTCTTCTAGCATCATTTACTGAAAATGCCCTTGTCCTTGTCATTTTTGTCAAAGAAAAAAAAATCATGTAAGAGAGAGTTGTGGACTGTGTTCTTCTGCATTAATATATGTTTGTCATTATATAACAGTGCCATATTATTATAACTTTGTAGTAACTGTTGAAGTCACATGCTATGAGTCCCCCAACTTGCTTTTCAAAATTATTTTGGCTGTTCTACAAAACTAGAACCAATTTGCTTATTTCCTTAGATTGTCTGCTGTAATTTTGATAGTTTGCATTGAATCTGTATATAAATTTGGAGATAATTAGACCAGAAGGACAATATTGGGTCTTCAGTCTATGAACATGGAATTACTTCTCCATTTATTTTTAGGTCTTGTTCAATTTCTCTTTTTTTTTTTTTTTTCTTTTTGTTTGTTTTTGGCGGTACTGGGGCTTGAACTCAGGGCCTCACTCTTGCTAGGCTTGCTAGGTAGGCACTCTGCCACTTGAGCCACTCCACCAACCTGGTCTTTCTCAGTTTCTCTTAGCATTGTTTGCTAATATACAATTGACAGTTCATGGTTTTTGTTAAATTTATTCCTAGATATTTCATGCTTTTCAAAGTGATTATAAATGGTATTTATAGTATTAAAATATAGTGTAAGCTTACATATTGACTACATAATTCTGCAGTCTTGCTAAACTCACTAGTAGTAGCTGTTTTACCAATTCCCTTGAATTTCCTTTGGGTATGCAGTCATATCATCCACAAGTAATTTTACTTTGTGCCAATTTCTTTTTCTTGCTTTATTGCACCGTCTACGATCTCTTATATAATGCTAAATACAAGTTGTGACACTCATTTGAGCATCTTACGAATTCAAGGCACTTTAGAAATATGGGCCCCTGTGTTCATAGAGAACTTTCATCAGTAAACAAGACCTAGGAAAGCAGTGGAATGTTAAGGGGAAGAAAGGAGCAGTGGAAATTGTCCCCATTTCTTACTACAGTAGTGTACATGATAGAAGCTGAAAAATAAGAATCACAGAAGCGGTTATGAGTTAGGATTACTCCTGATTAAGAGTGGAATCAGCGTGGGGAAGGGTAAAGAATGGATGAGTAGGAGGGAAGATAAGTGAAGACAGGGAAATTGGTGCTTAAGGAAGGAAATGTAAGGGAGGGAGAGGATGAGGTCAGATTTGGTTGGTTGAGGGAAGATTGCTGCAGTCAGAATGCTACTTTGTTGTGAGGTTTAGTGCTCTGGGAGATCGAATGTCAGTCATTTGGGCATGCTCTGGTGGCATGATGCAAAGAATATTTGCCCTCATATATTTAATAGGAGGAAATCTTGCTCTTCACAGTGCTAACAATCAAGTGGACAGTAGGCATTTATTCTGATTTTTATGTATCATTTCAGTTCTTGTGACCTAAAGTATACAGAAGGAGTACAGTCCCTCAATTGGACTAAAATCATGAAGACCATTGTGGATGACCCTGAGGGCTTCTTCGAACAAGGTGGCTGGTCTTTCTTGGAACCTGAGGGTGAGGTGCGTGTGTGTGAGGTTTCTTTTTCATTATGCAGTGTTGCCTGCTATCTTGGGCAATTCAGAGAATGGCCTACAGGTACCACATGAGGAACAGAGCACCTGGGAGAAGCTTTGAATACAAGAATAGTTTTATAAACTGATTGGGCATTGGTAGCCACTTAACAAGGCTTCTTCAAAATTATAAAAACCATTCCTCTTTGAGTTTTTTTAGCATTTGAAAAGAAGAAATTGAGGGCATGTTACAAAAATTACTTTCTAAAAAAATGACTCTCCCACCTTTGCACAGTACATTGTTACAAAGAGTCTTTTTTTTTAAACGGTGCTGGGGATTGAACTCAGGATCTACACCTTGAACCACTCCACCAACCCTTTTTTGTGATGGGTTTTTCCAAGTTGTCTGGGCTGGCTTCAAACCATGATCTCCTGATCTCAGCCTCCTGAGTAGCTAGGACTACAGGTGTGAGCCACTGGTGCCTGGCTTTACAAAGAGTTTCTGGGACTGGAAGTGTGGCTCAAGCAGTAGAGCATCTGTTTTGTAAGCACAAAGCCCTGAGTTCAAACACCAGGACTGCCAAAAACAAAACAAAAAAAAAATCCGTCTTCTCAGGAGCAGAGAGAAAGATTGAAAGGGAGAGAGAGAAATTAGATGTTTAAAGATCTAATAACTATACCTTAGCAGTAATTTTAGACAAGTCATTTTACATCTTGGTCACTCAGGTCTTTTGTTTTTGCATATAAAATGCTAGTGTACTAGTGGGTTAAATTAATTCCTTAAGTTAGTAAGGTGAATGTAAAACAATGTGGACAGTGCAGTGTTCACATTCTTTTTAACAATGCAGGGGAGTGATGCTGAGGAAGGGGATTCAGAGTCTGAAATCGAAGATGAGACTTTCAACCCTTCAGAGGATGACTATGAAGAGGAAGAGGAGGACAGTGATGAAGATTATTCATCAGAAGCTGAAGAATCAGGTTAGTCTTTAGTAGCCAGGACAGATAATTTCTTATAATGTGATTTCTAGAAACTATTTTTTTTTAAGGGAGGGGAGGGAGGTTCCATCATTCCATTCCTGCATGACTAATGTGTGATCAATACTGTTCCAGACTATTCCAAGGAATCACTGGGCAGTGAAGAAGAGAGTGGGAAGGATTGGGATGAACTGGAAGAAGAAGCCCGAAAAGGTTAGAAAAAATTGTTTGGAGTGGTTTATTTATTCATTCATTTATGACAGATTTCTAACACATTTCTGTATTTGGAGGTGTTGGTATTAGTAGCCTACTGAGTAAAAAGAAAACTATAAAACTGATTGGAGCCACAGCTATACTTTCATTGACCAAAGGAGAAATAAGGTCTGGAATGTGGGCATGACTCCACCTGACTGGATGATTGTTTCATTTACTGAAGTCCCCATTGTGTACATGATAACCACATAGATATGTAAGACTAATCCAGCTAATCTAGTTACTCTGAAACCAAATCCCAAATACAAATTTAAAATGAAAACTTTTCTAATCCTTAAATAATTCTCTTTATAAGTAGAGGCTCAGGTTAAGCAACCTGCCCTAAGTCATCTAACTAACAAGTGACTGAATAAAGATTAAAACTCTAGACTGACTACAAAGTAAATTTTCTGTACTATTCCATGGTTTCCAGTGCTAATAATGACTCTTATGTTTAGCGGACCGTGAAAGTCGTTACGAGGAAGAAGAAGAACAGAGTCGGAGTATGAGCCGGAAGAGAAAGGCATCTGTACACAGTTCAGGCCGTGGCTCTAACCGTGGTTCCAGACACAGCTCTGCACCCCCCAAGAAAAAGAGGAAGTAACACTGAACTTTTTGACCCTCAGCTCCATTCTTCCTCCAGCCAACTCCTAAAAATTTTACATGACATTGAAACTGTATTTTTCCTTTTGTTTTCTTTCAAGTTTTGCCATTTGTGTTCATGGGTTTAGAGGGCCATATGTGTGGACCAATCTACTCGGGGAATTCCAGGCCCACCAGGACATGTGCCAGTGGCCCATTCAGATGGCAAGGGAGGAGGAGGTGTTCTTGAAGAAGGGCGGAGGTTCCCGCTGTTAAAAATACCGTTCATCCCTCTCTTCCTGTCACCTTCTGCCAGGACATCAGTGGCTTCTGACATCTTATCTTTGGTGTCTCAAAGCTGTACTTCCAAGACATTGGTACACAGTGATCCTTTACTGCCTGTGTACCATGGTTCTTGACCAGCAGGTTCAGTCCTCCATCCTACCCTACTGCCATGACCTTCCACGCATCTCTTTAAGTTCCGTCTTTACAGTACTCAAGAAAAGGTTCTTGGAATGTGCCAAGAATTGTGATAAAACCATACAACTTGAGCTAGTGAGGCAGATTGGGCTGCTGCCTTCATCTTGAGTTCTCCTGTTTTCTTGCCTCATGCGTATTCTGAGGTATTTCTGCTGCCTTGGAAGACATACGAAGCAGTGACACTCCCTGGCTCCATTTTTCTCCTTACAAGTTGACACATGGTACAATGATAGAAGGCAAAATTACTGCTGTCTCTTCTGAGATATCTAAGGAAGAATGGTTGTGCCTCATAGACTACTCCAAGTGAAATCTAGAGGGTGGCTCAAAGGATTCAACATTTAGATCTGGAAGGGGCAAGTCATGCCTTGGGCCTAGAATATCTTGATGAGAAAAGAGAAGAGGAAGGGAGGCCATGTCTACAACACAGCCTCTTGGCACTGCTGCTTCTTATTTTTACTTGTCCTGCATTGTCCTATATTTATCAAAGTTTCTGTTGAACAGCTTTTTAAGTATGGGGAAATTTTTCTTGCCATCCTCCCCTTCTGGTTCTCTGCACCCACCTGTCCCACTGCACTTCCTTCCGTGTTCTGTGACTTTAAGAGAATAGGGGGAGGGGGTCTCATATTTTATGTTTGTCTGTTTGTTTGTTTTTCTCCTTAGCAGTAGAACTTGATATTTTCAATTTTGGAAGAACTAAATGATAAATAAACTGTGGGTTTTTTTGTTGGTGTGTTGTTTTTGTAATTCAGCTTTTGTGACCAGTTCCTGAAAGCATGTGTCATCTACTGAAGCACTAAGGTGTTACAAAGAAACACCTTTATCCATCGTGTACCTCAAGAATCAACTTTCTAGGCCTCCTCATTAGGTTGAGAGATGCTAGATAGCGCAGTAAACCAAACTTATGGTATAGCAAGTTACTTTATAAGAGACTTTTTACTACGATTCCTTCAGATTTTAGAATGGATTAGCACTTGTTCCTTCATGAAAACAGTCTTCGTTCATCTCCTTGTAAATATCATGGAGGGCCGCAGCTGCTTGAAGGGAAACCTTCAGCCTTCCTATTGAGACGGTCTGGTCTCCAGGGCTGACAACTGTGGGAAAGAGAAGAAGTATGAGCACAGCAGCATTTAACAGAACAATCACTACCTTGTGTTTGCCTTGCTAGGTAGTGGGGTGCTGCATCTGTGAAGCCACTTCCCATTTCACAGGACAGGAGAAAGGAGGCCAAGGTTATTCCAATGTAGTATGTAGGTGCTGTAATAAAAGCTCAGAGTGTTGGAGACAGAAGGGGCACTCAGCCAAAACGGAGAAGGGACTTGGAGAAGGATTTCTGGAGACGAAAAAAGAGCTGTTTTGTAGGGTTTTGTTTGTCTGGGTTTGTTTATTATTTTTTCCAGGACTAGGGTTTTTGGCTCAAGGCTTTATGCATGCAAAGTAGGCACTCTTATCACTTGAGCCACAGCTCCAAGCCATTTTGCCCTGGTTATTTTGAAGATGGGGTCTCACAAATTGTTTGCCTGGGCTGGCCTCAAACCACAATCCTGATCTCAGCTTCCCAAGTAATTAGGATTAGAGGTGTGAGCCACCAGCACCCAGCTATGAGCTAAGTCTTTAAGAAAGTAAAAGATATTCTAAGCATGTACCCAGACACAGAACGTAAGTTTAGAAAGCTACAAGAGTGACAGGAATGAGGCTGCAGAGAAAAACAGCACACACAGGGTGTTGTCTTTTAAGAAATTTTAACTGAGGATATTAGAAGTGATAAGTCCCTCCCTGTAGTAGCTTTTCCATTGCTGTGACAAAATTGCTTAGACAAGAAAAGATTAATTTTGACCCATAATTTGACAGGTCTCAGTCCATGATATCTTGGCATCACAGCTGTGGGCTTGTAGTGAGGCAGAACATGGCTGAGGGGGCATGGTAAGAGCGAAGCTGCTCACCCTGTGTGGGGAAGCAAAAAAGGGGCCAGAGGCAAGATGTACCCTTCAAGGGCATGCCACCAGTGACCTTCCTCTTCTAGTCCTCATCTCTAACTGGCCGTTGGCTATGAACTCACCACTGATTTAAGTTAACACCCTCATAATCCAATCACCTAGCCATAGATAGCATCACCAGTTGAGGATGTAGCCTTTTTTGTGGGAACACTTCATATCCAAACCCAAACACTGGATTCCAAAAAAATGACTCCATTATTGGGAAACAAGCAACAAGTTCTTGCAGAAATGTGGGGAGCTGGCAAAATGAAGAGGGCCAAAAGTAACTGGAGAGGCAGGGATCAATTCAAAACATTTCAGAAGTCAAACAAGTTTACAATTGGATGTTCAGAACAAGGAAGAGGTAGGAATTGAAAATAACCATTCTAAATCACATTTAACCAGATAAATGAGAGGTGACACGGGACTATAAGGTAGAAAGTTGTGGTCAGGAGTCCGAAGTACCAAACAGACTTTCAAGTAATATCAGCCTGCTTGTAAATGTAGATACATTTAAAATTCTGCCCTAGAAACCTAGGTTTTAGATCATTTTTTGGCTATAATTAAAACTCCTAAAGTGGATACAATTATCCAGCTCAAGAAAGAGTATATGCGGAGAAAAAAGATCAGGATCGAACCAGGAGAATCCAGCATTTACAGGAACCAATCAGCACACACACCACCAATGCTAGGGATTAAGCCCAAGGCTTCACACATGCTAAGCAAGTGTTCCACCACTGAGCAACACCCCAACCCTCAGCCCAACATGTTTAAAGCCTGAGTGGAAACAAGAGCATAATGAGAAAGTTACAAATTTTTCTTTTGCTAGTTGAAGAATCAAAAGGCATTCATTAATTGGCTTAGGGGATTTTTGAGGTCACTAGAAAACACTTAAGGACCTTAGGTAAAAAAGGCATGGAGGTCGTGGATGTTCAGGAGTGGGGCAGGAGTAGAAATTAGAAGAGCTGGAAATGGCTAACACAGCGATAGCACTTCCATATGCCAAGTGCCTGCCTACTCCTTCCCACGTGCTTCACTTAAGTGTCCCCTTAGTCTTCACAAATAGGTTCTACTGCCTATTTTCTAGTTGAAATTAGCACAGAGAGGTTAAGTGACTTGCTCAAGATCATAGTTAGAAAGACTAGGGGAGGCCAGGCATTTGTGGCTCACGCCTGCAATCCTAACTACTCACAGGCAAAGATCAGGACAATCACCGTTCGAAGCCAGCCTGGTCAAATAGTTCACGAGAAAACCATCACAAAAAAGGCTGGTAGAGTGGCTTGAGGTGTAGACCCTGAGTTCAAACCCCAGTACTGCTGAAGTCTGAACTTTATAATCTGTAGTCTGAGCAGTATCTGACAAAAACATTTTATTATGGTCAGTAAGAACAATTTTGTACCATGATTTAGTAAACATTACACTTAAATATCTAAAATAGTGGGGATGTAATCAAGACACAAGTAGAGTAGCTGAGACGTGGTGACCAATGACACAAATCACGGGGGGCGGGTGAGGGGGTAAGGAGAGTTGTGTCTGTGAACCTGGCGGTGGGGGAGGGGTTACGTGATGACACATTATAGAAAAGGGGTCTTAGTTGCCTTTACAAATTTTATCTGATTAAGAGAGGTCAGAAATTCTGATTTTTAAATTTGACTGAAATTTAAAAATGTTTGATCCTACCTCAAACTTTGAAAATTCAAAACAGATTTTAATTGTAATAAGGTATCTGGGGACTAAAATATACAGGTATTTTCCTGCTTGATTCAGAAATGAAATACATAAAGTTGTGGGGAAAGATTTCAATCCAGTTTGCCCATCGGCTTCACAGAAGTAATTATGTTTCGAAGTAAAACAAAAATCTGTTATTAGACTGCTTTCTTTAGAAATAAATGGAATTAAGCACAAAAATTTCACTACTCACTGTCCAGCTCCTGCTCCAGAATGTCTCTTCCTGATTCAAGGACCTGCCACAGTTCAAGATACGCATATCCTACTTCTTGACATTCTTTCTTTTCTTCATCCAAAGGATCACTTACCACTGTAAACTTTAAACTAAAAAAAAAAAAAGATGCATTTCACTAATCATGGCTGAGCCCCTTATAGTTTAAAAATAAAATAAGGATAGAAGTAACCGTAAACAATACACTGTCTTAGCCTGGAGGTGTGTGGCTCAAGTGGTAGAACACCTGTAAGCACTAAACCCTGAGTTCAAACTCCAGTACTTCCAAGAAAGAAAAAAAATTCCTGTCTTCCCTGAATCACCTCAAGACAACAAACAGCAAAAACAAAAATAATAAATAAGGAATCAGTGTAATATATACTTGAGGGAATAAATTCTCATAACACACAGGTGATCATGTCTCAAAATTGTGGAGATTAACAAAATGGTTTACAAGCTGGGCACCAGTGGCTCACGCCTGTAACCCTAGCTACTCAGGAGGCAGAGAGCAGGAGGATCAAGGTTCAAAGCCAGACCAGGCAAATAATTCACAAGACCCTATCTCAAAAAAAAAAACCCTTCACAAAAAAGGGCTGGTGGAGTGCCTCAAGGTGTAGGCCCTGAGTTCAAGCCCCAATACTGCAAAAAATATAAATAGAATGGTTTACAATGTTGAAAAACTTGATATGGGCAGTGAAGGCATTGTGCCAGACTCCCAAAACTAGGCAAATCATAAGCTTTAAATTTCTAAATGAAAGTTGGGGACCGGGATAGGAATGTGGCTCAAATAGTACAGCACCTGCTTAGCAAGCATGAGACTCTGAGTTCAAATTCCAGTAATGCCAGAAAAAAAGTGTTACCATAAAATGGGTACCAAGCCTCAATAAAGTAAGAGAAACGAAAGGAATACAGAACTGCAAAACAATGTAGTCAAAGTCATGAGTCTTGAAGATTGTACTGTAAATCACACAGCCCAGTGCCCACTAAGCAGGGAGCAGCCGTAACAGCTAACATTATGCTGGTGTAACCTCATAAATGATACTGAATTCTAGAAGCAACCCTATCAAGTTGTCATTGCTGCTGTTGATGAGACAGGGTCTCACTATGTTGCCCAGGCTGGTCTTGAACTGCTGGACTCAAGTGATTCCACCTCAGCCACCCAAGTAGCTGCGGCCTGCGGATGTGTGCCATTGTGCCAGGCGCCTATGAATTGTGTGTAGATAAAATTTGCTATTTGAGCCCCCTAACAGTGTGCGTGCAATTCAGTGGTTTTCCCAGAACACTGTCATCACCCCAAAGAGAAACTGCATCCCCATGAACTAGTCCTTCCCCGTCTCCTCTCTCTTAGGCTTCTGGCAGCCAGTGATTTACTTCTTGTCTGTCTGGGGTCTGTCTCATGGACATTTCATATTCCCATTAGTATTTGTTTATTGGTTTTTTGAAGCAGGGTCTTGGTATGTAGTCCAGACTGGCATTGAACTCATGATCCTCCTGCCTTAGCCTCCCAAGTGCTGGGATAACAGGCATGTGACACTACACCCAGCTGTTCCTATTAATTTTTGGAAATCAAAGATTACTGCTAGTTGTGTGAAGGGAGCAGGAATAGGACTAAAAATTCAAGCTCTTATGGCACAGCTAAACAGGATTAAGCTGAAAAGAAGGAATTAGGAAATCGATACATTCTCAGCTCATGAACCACAGGGACGATGCTGCCTTGCGCACCCTCATTTCCCACACCGTCTCAGGAGAGGGCTGGTAACCTGCACTTCTATGCTCCAGGTACAAAAAAGCAAGGGC